TTTTATGTACCTTTTTTCGTTTTTCTGCCTACGTCCTTTTCTAACGTGGCTTCGAGTCGATGAAGTGGTAATGTGAGCCAGCAGAGATAAAATGATAGCTTTTGTAAGCGTGCCAAGCTGATTGACGATCAAGCCAAGGTTGGCCGAACCCTGTGACGTAGGTGTCATTCCTAGGTCACAGGGCAAGCCCCCCGGCATTACTGCTGCTCTAGAAGTCACGGAGCCAAGGTGGCTAATGTACACAGTGTTTGTTTGCGTTTTTCTGTCACTATGTGGGGTATGTTTTAAACTTAAAGAGTATTTGTAAAGGGGAAGATACAGTTAAGAGCATAAATCTCTTCCTCTTTTGCACAAGATTTCAATGTTTAGAAGAGCCAGAACCTGCTGTTACCTCTGTTTCGAACGTCTGTCATTGGCTGTGGTTGCCTGTTTGCAAACAAAATGTGGAGTCAATGTAGCTTACGACAGTGCGAACGATATCCCCCCCCCTGCAGTACACTTGATCAGATTTACATTTAGCTGTAGACAGGGGTCATCCTCGCTCCAAAATGCATCACTAAGCTGTACACAGTGCCTATCTCTCAATCTAAGCCTGTGTGGGGCGAATAGAGAGAACTCAAGTGTGTTTCCAAGAGGAAGAGACATATGCTCGTAACTGTAGTTATGCTCCTAACTGTATAGATGTAGGGAAGACAGCCCGAAGTCTCAGTAGCACTGCTTTCTTTTGGCGTAGAGCCAAAACCCGCTATATACCTGCCTACCTAGACCGACTGGGAGCCGCGCACCACAACAACCACTCAGCGGTGTGGGTCCAGCCGTCAGTAGATACGCGGTTTCCTGCTGTTCGGAAGCCCAAAAAGACTTCTGCGCGAATACCGAGCGCAGCAATTGCTTCTTCATGGTGATCAACTTATGGCTCCCAGGGGAAATCGTGGATCCCCAGACCTGACTGCATACGAACAAGGGGGGGGGGGGGGGGGGGGGTTGGAAGGGGATGTACGCACCATACAGGCTTTAAATCTTTGCTTGCGGCCAGGCTTGACCCCCTGCCATCAACTAAGCTGAGCACAATCTTCTTTTAGCAAATGCTCGTGCGCAGTGGTAGGAACTAGCATGCAGTTCTCAGACAGCGCGTCAGACTTCGTTCAAGCTGTATGACAATTTGGCTTTCGATGAACGCAAAGTTTGAGTGGGTTGCACAATATACGGCCACAGTGTGGAATGGGCGAAGACCGGCGAAGACTATCGACTTTTGTTGGTGGGCCCTGCCTAATGTTCCTTCATCTATCTACGAAGCCTTCAGGCTATCCATTCCAACCCTATGCTACTACTGAAGATGTCGGCATCTTACGTCCCCATATCTTCTTGAACCAATACCACGGGTGCGTTGTTTTCGAGGCCATTTCCGCTCACAGCGCTGTATTGTAATCCTCAATTTGTTCAATACTCCAACCAGCCGAGGTGCCTAGGCGCATAACAGACCCCAAGGCGTCCTTCTCAATTACTGCTTGCGCATACTGGCCCAGCTGTCCTTTCTTTACATATTCCGGCCATGCTCCGATCGGTATCTGAGATCCAGTGTCAGACTTCGCCTGCGAAATTGCAATGTCGCAATGCCTACCTTGCAGCTAAACTCCTGGACGTCGATGAAGCCTGCCTCCTCTATGGCCTGTCTCTGTATGCCGCGCCGCACTACAGAAAATGTTGGGCCAGTTTGTTCGCCATACTGGTCGAATATTCCAAACCATTGATACCAGGCACTTCTTTCGTTCACTGTGCCGTCGTCACTCTCGATCAGAAACGATGGCTCCGAGCTCTCAAGAACCCCGCCTGGTCGTAAACATCGGTAAGCCTCCTTCATCGTGGATTTCCAATTAAGAACAGAGCCGGTGAGTAATCGCATGTGAACATAATCGAGGGAGTTGTCGTCGATTGTCCATCGTTCGTTGAAGTCGTCAATATGGCTAGAAGACGAGTCAGTTTCAACTTACCTACACAAGCGGCAGGCAGAGTGGAGATGAATATATTGAAAATAAGGCTGAACCGACAAATGTACATTCGATGGAACATATACAGGCTGAACTGGTGACAGATCGATTCCAATCACGACGACGTGCGGGTAGGTTTCACCAACTTCACTGATGTGCTGATGTTAGGAACGCTTTTGCACAATCATCGCTCGATACGGCCATTAACAAGCTTGCTTTTTGGTTTCGTGTCTGGCTATTCTCACCAAACTTCCATTGCGTCACGCTGCGGACCGTCATGCGGAGCCCTAGGGGAAAGCGTCAGTACTCAGTTGTTTTGTGCCGTTTTGCTCCACATACCAGTAAGTAGAACGAAATCGATCGCTGTGCTAAATCCTGCCATGGTAGTCTCCATAATCTAAAATGCTGGACGTCATCGACTTGGTTGAGCCTTTTTCGTCATCGAGGCCTGAATCGAATTCGTTGTCTTGCAATTCTGCCTGGGTAGGTTTTCTATCAGTACTGCCGATGCGACATTTGGAAAGAAAGATCTTACTGCAGGTGGAGTTTCAGGAGGCGTCTGTTCCGTAAAGGTCGAGAACACGTAGCTAGGTTGCCTTGCCTCTGGCCCTGCCAAAGTCACTGGGGGCCACGCGGTCGACTCAGGGGGTGCATCAGACATCTCCAAAAGAAGTAGAATAACTGAGATATTCTAGAGAGAACTTTTGGTCACCTTCGATCGGAATTTCAGGCTCTTTATATATCTAGCTACTGGTGGCGCAGGTGTTGGATTGGCCGTTGGCTTAGCTAGGTAAAGGGGCGTAGTACCTTGGTGCCACTACATTGCGACCAACTATGGGGCCTCTCTGGGCCTTTTGAGTGGAAGGATTAAGGAGTGATCAACGTCGTCAGTTTAGGGATCGTTTCCAAGACTGAAACCGGCTGCATGGGTGATTCGTGGCCAAGGAAATTAACACGAGCTACCGTTGGTGAGAGGCTGGACCTTTACGTTTCGAAAGAAGGTGCTGGTGGGGTAGTTATTATCACAACGTAGAAGTGAGCCATTGCATGATGAATATCAAGACTGTCCGAGTTATCGTCGGGATTTACACTATCCAGCTTCTAACGGGAGATTCACCCGAGACTGGCCCGAAGAGCTCTTATTCTCATAAACCGTTAATTATCGCGTGATCCGAGAGAAACAGCGTGTGACCCTTCACGTAAACTCCCTCATCTAGGGCAAAGACTTCCACGACAACGCCCAACCGGCTATTCGGCAACCCAGGAACCCCAAGCACCAATCACGACGAGTGCGTACAGACAGATCCATAGCGTGCCAAGATACTAATATGCCAACAACTAAATCGAGGGGAGGATTGGCTTCGGGGGTTCTAGTAAGGATGAATCTGAAGATGAGAATAGCCCGCTGGTGTAACAATCCAGCATCTGTTCGCTATCTCCATGAACCAACTCCCCATTAGGAAGTAAGACAGTTGAGCTACCGCGGGGCAAGCTTTTTGCAGTGTGATACGAGACGTGTGAGCCCGGACGGGGCACTACGTTGCTGTGATCAAATACTGTTAGTTGTTTCCGACAGAATCGACTTTGATCGGACTTACTCACCAGCTCATGGCCCGTAGCGACGGCATTGCTCGACACTCCGATTCAGACCGAGATGTATACCCGTCAACCGACCTCATCGAGAATGCAGCCGCTCTCGTCAAGACTGCTTCTCCACCAGCCTTGCCTCCGAGTCCAGCATCGCCGCGTGGACCGTAAATACCATGGCAAATTGCAGCGTGGTAGCCATCATGCTGTACAGTGACCAAAAGCACCACAGGCCTGTTGAAAGCCAGATACCACGCATTAAGTTATGTGCATATCTAGAAATTCCACTCCGATCAGTGTCAGACCGCAGAGAAGCGTCTCCGCGACCAGAAACGGTCACAAAAGCGCTTAGCTTATGGATCATTATCGCAGCAGCAGCTACATGCCAGTGCTTGGCAAGGAGACCAAAAGTAATGATAACGATGTAGGCGGCGTGAAATCGAATGAAATTATGCCTTATGCGCTGTTGCAGGTCTTTGAAGGATGTTGGGAGAGTAAGGTAGTTGGGGTTAACAAGGTCGAATAGGGGACTACTAGCTGAATTCTCGAGTATGCGAGCGACGTAAGGCCAATAGTTTTCCCTCAACACAGAAAGAATGACCCGAAGGTCTTCGAGAGATAACATGTCAAGCTAGGCGTAAAGTGGGATAATTCGCTTGGAAAATTCAACTTGCAGAATGTTGAAAGATATAGGTTATGGTCGTAAAAAAGTGCCCCGCTACCGCGCCGGTTCTTGCCGCTATTACTAACTTCAAAGCACGATATGTTCTCTGTACTCCGAGTTGCTGTAACAACAGCACCGCGATTAGTAGCTATAGTGATCAACTGGTATAGTCTCTTACGCGTTACCTTGCGAATTTAGCATTCTGTGTGAAACAACAGATGTCAAGTTTGGGAACGATGCTAAGAGTGGCGAAGGAGATTACGGTACAGTGGGGTGGGAACTGACGAGGTCACTCTCTTAGTTAGGTATAGGAGCCAGAATCATCTCAGTCCCAACGTACACAATGAAGAAGCGGCTATGAATGTATCACACAGGCGTTCCATTTGGGGTTCCTGTCTCTAATGGCTGTGAGAACTCAAGAACTGACGTAAACAGGCCTGTATCTCGTCTGATAGGTCGATACCGGGACTCGCCCCGTTGTGTGTCACTGTACGCTGGGCTATTAACGGAGCTGCCTCCACCTCTGGATCCCCCTGCGTGAGCATGTCAGGGCTGGATCATTTAAGTGATCAACAGCAGAATATGGCTTTTTTGCAGCACTCCTGTTTCTGCTTCAACGAGAATCAACACAGTATAAGTAACGTCCTATCAAGACCGTCATTCTTACGGCCGGTGTATCCAGCGCCGCAAACGACACCCCGCTGATCTACGCCACTAACCTTACTGGCACCGCTCTCGTTCTTGACAGCTTTCTTCCCCTGATGCCTCCTGGAAGCTCCCTGACCATCATAGCCTCGGTTGCCGGTCACCTGCTCTCTCCCAACCCGGGCTTGGAGACTCCTCTGGCAACAGCCCCGACAGCTTCCCTCATCACGCACCACGAACTGGACCACGATATGGACTCTAGCCACGCTTATGGTGTGTCGAAGCTTGGTTGCATCGTCCGTGCTCAGTACAAGGCTGCTGAGTGGGGACACAAAGGAGTGCGAATCAACACCGTTAGCCCCGGGGCCATCGAGACGCCTATGCTTGGTCAAGTTCTGCAATCGGAGCAGGGACCCTTTGCGCAAAGCATGATCAACAATACTCCGCTTGGCAGGACGGGGACGTCTGATGAGATCGCCAGGATCGTTGCGTTTCTGGCCGGGCCGGGCGCGGGGTTTATCACTGGAGCGGACCTAGTCATCGATGGTGGCGCCTTGTCGGCACATCGATGGCTTGGAGCCGTCGCGGAATCGAAGCACGTGGTTCCATCATCAGATGGACACGAGTGATAGAACAAGGTTCGGATACATAGTCCGGAGCGGAGCTTTCCAAGTTTCAGCAGGTGTTAGATTGCTCTCTGTAGCCTTGCTGTCGATGATATCATTGATGCGTGGCTGTTTTAGTCGACGTACTTGGTCCTTGGTCCTTGGTCCTTACACAGTACATGAGCACGATTGTTTCTTAGAGTATCTCTACTCCTACTGTACTCATAGTTGATCCGCACACTTTCACAGATCTCATGGCTAGCCTTCTTGATGCAGGAAAGACGGCCGACAACAAATAGCAGAATCAAGCCAAAAGATTGCCCATTAGCGGCCCCTATCATTCACTCATCAGTAATGTGACACACTCTTTGACATCATGTGAGACTACTGTGTGAAGCTTTGAGCTTAAGATGCTTCTGGACAGTGTGGCCGTGGCCCCATGATTATTGCGGCATGTTTGAGGGCCACTCAGTTCTGAGCACACGTTTCTTCCCCTACAAACAGACGCGCCAAGTGTGTGGACCCGCTTCACATGGTGTCACCGCCGAAAGAAGCCACTCCGTAAACCTCCGTTTGTGGAGCTTGATAATGCTCAAGCTGGCGAGCAGGGCCGGAAATGGGAATTTCAGGTACAGCGAAATATTTTGCCTGCTTGCTACATAGTACTGTCGTCAAGTCTTGTGGGCTCGGCCCATGGCGGAAGCGAGCGGACACCGCCACAACTAGAGGGATGGGGAGCGAAAGATGTGACTCTCTCGCTTCATTGTGCTCCTCGCCATGTGCACAATTTCCAATATATCAATGGGAGCCGGAAATGGGTCTTTGTGGGGACCACACACGGCACAGCAAAGTGCTCGCTGTGTAGCTGGGATGACTCATCTTGGGATCTTGGGAGCCCAAACAGGCTCCCAGCATGTTCCGGACTTTCCACTGCAACAATTGGAAGCCAGATATAGATCTTGCAGTCACCGTAAGCAGTAGAGGAAGAAAGCTCCTTGTTGCGTGGCTGGGAGGACCAGCCGGAACCAGTTCTCGGCAAGAGTCAGATATGAGCGTGTAGACAGGGGAGGTCGTGAAACAAGGAGGACCCTTGTTGCATGGCTGGGGACGTGGCTGGGGACATCCTCCACTAAAGGCCAGAACTGGCACCTGCCTCATCGTTGCGGCGACGTTGGAACTGGATCTCTAGGTCGCGGCATCCATTTCTACACGACAGGGCGAGAGCCCAGTCGCGTGGCTGGGCAGATCGTCTCGCAAAGGCACCTAAAGCCGGAATCGAAAAGTGAGAAATGGCCTTCCAAAAGAACCAGATTTGGATCTTGCAAGCAGGGGACATAACTCAGCATGCAAGATCCTTGTCGTGTGGCTCGGGACAATCTCGCTCCAGACTCAGCCGGTTGAAGGGAGCTGGAAATGGATTTTGCGGACAGTGAATAGCGACTAACAAGAGTCAAATTCAACTTTTTCGACATAGTAAATGGGGTGGTTGGTAAGGTCCTTGGTGTGTGGCTAGGAGGACGGGCCAAAACTGGCTTCTGGTAAGAGCCAAATACGGATGCTCAAGACAGGGGATCTTTGTGAGCAAGTGAGATGCTGGCTGGGAGGGCCCTGCCCCAGTCGCCAGAAGCGACCACCAACAATGTGGTCGCAGCGGCATTGCATATTAACTTCTGGGTCTCGACTCTCCAGTACCGTGGATGAAGCCAGATACGGATCTGAAGAAAAGCCATATATCGGGACAAGCAGTATCCTTCATACAAGCTTGAGAATTCCTACTCCCGAGAGTCGAAACCGGCTCCTAGAAGGAGTCCGGTGTAGGTTTTGCGGAAGGGCGATGTGCTGGTGCATGCAAGCTTCCTGTTGTTGGCTGGGGGTGCCTACTCCCAAAAGGCAGAAGAGGCTCTTGGTAGCATGTAATTTGCTCTGGCGTCAAAAGTTGATTTCAGAGCTCCCAGCCTTGGTAACTGCAGGATGAACCGGTAATGGATCCTGCGCACAGGGTATGAGGTGGAAAGAAGTACTGTACCATGTAATACAGTAGTACTGTAGCTCTGAACAAAAGCTAGATCTGGATTTTGCTGACAGGGGAAATGGGGTAGCAGGCAAGGACCTTGGTGTAGGCTTAGCTCCTGGCAAGAGAGCCAAAGACGGATCTTGCAGACGAGACGGGAAAAGCGGGGAGCCAGCAAGACCCTTGTCGCGTGGCTACTATCTATGTAGGAAGGCCTTACCCCAACAGCCAGAAGCGGCTGGAAACGCGTAGTTCCAACGGCGACGAGTGCCAGCTTCTGGACCTCGACTTTCCAATATATCAAATAAGAGGGGCACCCCACAACCGATCACCGCTTTTGGGCCACATTTTCAGGCAGTCTATAGATTTTTATTTTGGCTGCAACACAGGCCTAATTTTAGTTGCTCGCCTTTCACCGTGCAGCAGCTGGTGCGGAGCCAGGAGCTCGAGCAGTGCTTCGTCACCTAGGACCATCATACAGTTATGAGCATATGTCGCTTCCTCTTCTGCATATACTCCTAATGTTTCGAAAGCCAAGAATAGCCGTAATGTGCTTCCTAAATCTCCAAAACCGTAGTGGCTGCCAAATCCAGATGATTTATGGAGCCAGACGGTGCGAGTAAGTACAGCAGCCATGCAAATTTGCTTGCTGACATCCGTTTTTGGCGCTAGCGACCAGCTTAAACCCATTAAATTCGAGAAATGGATGTAAGCAGTCCCCGTGCCTAAATATTGCAACTGTGTGGAGCATCTCAAGAAATCCAGTATGTCTGACTGAAGAGGAAGAGAATTATGCTCATAACTCTAACAAACGAAGAAGAGAAGACGACAATCAGGAAAGCTGTAAACGACCGAGATTGAAGCGGTACATAGTGGTATGTGTTTGGTAGAAAATAGACGTCCGATGTTATCTCCGTATTCGTGCCGGTGGTGTAGCTAAAATGAACGGTTTTTCGGTTTGCAGCCCGTTTTGGACGCAGCACCACTGCGGGCGGATCTACATGGCTGCAAAGCTCTTTCCTGATGTTGGCTGGTTCTCATGCAGACGCGAAATAATAACGATAAGCACCAGATTAGCGTTCGTGGTCAACGGTCTGGGAGGCCTACGAGTGATCATACATCCAGACACGGTGGGAAGTGAGAGCGGCGCGCCTCGCAGACTGCTCTGGCGGCGGGAAGCGAAACACGGTTCGGAAATACGCAGCCCCAAGGCGCAGGACCTGATGAGGATGGGCTTTCGAAACACTGAACGTATGTGCAGAAGAGGAAGCGACATATGCTCATAACTGTACCATCATCCTACACTGTAATTTATTCTTCCTCCTCTCCCAAACTCAGATGTGCTTGTCCGGCTGTCGGCTTTCGTGCTGCCGATCTCTGTTCTTCAGCTTAGGCTAGCTTAGTCTGAGAACACGCTGTTGTGCCTGGGAAGTGGCTAAACATATCATGTGACTACTATTCAGTCGCTGCACCACGGTCCAGCCGAAAGGCACGCTTCTTGACATCATTGGTGCAAGACTGGTTGGTGCATTTGAGAGATGGCTAAGGTGGTCCGAGCTCATGTGCCCAGAGTGGAGAACACGTAGGCCAGTGACGGGCTTACATTCCCGCGTATACACATCAGCATACTTCATCGTTACAGACACCTTGCCGATGGCTAGGGTATCACCAGCAACGACGACGGCGTTGATTACAAGTCGCGATCGCGATGATGACGTGATATTTTTAGGCCCGGAGACCAGCGCGCGGTGCACACTGGCATACAACATGGACACCTTGCCGATGGCTGTGGCATTGGGAACGACGAGAACAGCATCGCCACCAAGCCACGACCACAACAACGACGTGATCTACTTAGGGTCAAGGACAGGTCCGTAGTGCGCAACCAACGCGAACCGACGCTGACGAGGCCACAGTTACTAAGCCATCATCTCGATTCCGGCAGCCCAGCTGTCCTCGACCCAAACCGGACGACAAAAAACAACCGTCACGGCAATCGTTCAAGACGAAGAAGTCAAAGCCAAAATCATCGCACAGAGGACCAGTTCGAAAAGAATCACTTATGGAATACGCGCGTGTTGGTTGGATGCTATCTTCGGGCAACAACTGGCATGTTGTGTACGGATCCCTCGATAGAAGCGGACAACCATGCTACTGGTCCCATTCGGCTCCCGACGACTGTCAGACCATCAAACACGAAGATATACACTTTCGCTCGATGTTCCAAAAGCTGAGCCCGGACGAAATACGCAAGAAGTTGCCGGGAAAAATGCGGAGGGCGAGGGGGAGAAGCGTCCAGGATGAAACATGAGGTGCCTGTGTTGCGCCCTGTGTCTTGGGAACTGCTCATTGGCGACTCTTCTGGAGCAGTCGTTTTCGTTCGCTCGGGACTTCCTTGTCCACAGTCGCTCCATATATGGCTAAATCAGCACACTTCGACCCGAATACCCTTACTGCCCCTCTTGGTCATTCCCAGGGCAAGATCGAAGTCTTATACAACATCCGTGTCTGTTGTGCTGTACAATTTCATGATCTCCACGACTCTCAGAGTCAACGCCGCGATAGCAAGATACAGCTCGCAGTACGCTAGCCGGTCGGAGGCTGTGTGGTCAGCTGGGTGTCCGAACAGGGTAATCAAAGACGAGACGGCAAGAACATACTGCATGCCGAGACACTGTCCGCTGCCCCTCGAAAAAGTGAGGAGATACCGCTCAAGATGCCTTCCTTTCCTTCCGTCTCTGAGAAGCCATCTTTCAGGAGTGAACTTTGTTGGGTCCGGATACAGACGTTTATGCGTGTGGACCAGGTAGGCCGACATGCGCATGGCGTAACCTAGGGGGATCACTTGTCTGACGCTCACTGCTTGTGTAGTTCTGGGAGGATTCCACGTGCCCTGATATAGGACATCGTCGTCGGGTGCGATTCTGGGCAACCTTGACGAGAGTCCGTACATCAGGCGGAGCCTCTCCTTGATGACAGCACTCACATACGTAGCCGTTCGAGAACGAAACATCTAGGCAGCGGTTTCGGGTCCTTCACCACCGCCCACAGCTCGGCTTTCATCTTTGCCACGATGTCCGGGTTCTTCAGGAGATGGTACGTGCAAAGACTGAGCACGGTCGCCGTTGTTTCCGTTTCAGCGGCAAGAAACACGTTCGCCTCGCCAGACAGCCGCTCTTCTATTTTCTCTTCTGCTGGCAAATCAGACGACAACAGTGAGAAGAGCACCGTGTCCTGGTTCATCCGCATCCCGGTCTCGTATGCATTCTTTGCTTGGCGAACCATCATTGGCAGTTTGACCTGTCACCGTCATCAGCAAACACGCGACAGCTGCGCGCGGGACGTACCTGGGAATGATATGCGAGGATTCCGATCTTCTCTTCTCAGTCCAAGCTGACACTGCTGTTTAATGGAAGCAAGTAAGGGCTTTTCAGTGGTCCTAGTTGCTGATTTGATTATGCCAAGGGCATACTGTTCCTTTGTGAATTACAGGCGCAGTCATACACACACACACACACACAATTTATTACGCCCGGCAGCGAAGCCGAAAGGGCACCTAAACTGACTACCTATACAATGTTGAGCTTGTGTCTTTGTCTCCTTGAAGCTCATAAGTGATGTCTCCGTTTCCTGCTTACTCCTCCATGTCTGCCGTCTCGCTTCGGATTCCCGTGGTTTGGTTGTATTTTTAGCATGCCATCTTAAAGCCTATTCTCCAAGTGTTCAACGTCCTATCTACGGCGGCTGAAGCAGTGCCTGCTGTTTATGGCACGGGTTGGTAGTTGGTTAGGGTTGTGTCGGTTTTGGTGTGTTAGGGGGGTCTTCCAGTCTCGATTCTCGTCACCTTGCGTTTAGACGGCCTGTTACCAGCGCAAATCGTATCGTCGCTCGAACTGCTTGCATGTTTGGCTTCCATTTCTCATCGTCTGAGGCGCTCTTGCCTCCTAGGTAAAAGGAGATGTTGCTTCTGTGCGTCTCGGTACACTGGAGCATCTCAGTTCGGAACTCTGTCCACCTAGTGCATCGGAACAGAAAATGCTCCACCGTTTCTGCTGCCTGTCCACATCCGCATAAATGCGAGGGTGCTGCGTCGATCCGATGTAAATAGTAGTTCAGTCTAGCCATTCCGGTTCTAAGCTGTGCGAGAGTGGTCGCTTCTTTCCACGTAAGCTGGTCGTACAACTGGCGGGTATGTTTTCCTGGCAGCGCTTTGTCGACTCTTTTGGAGAATCGTCCGATGTTCCCGGGCAGCACGCGTCCTTGTGACACCTTTGCTCGTGCCACATTAAGCGTCGTTGACTTCATCATGGGGAACTGTACTTGCGGGGTGGCGCCGTCTTTGGTTGCTTCGCGCGCTTGTGTCTTTGCTTGCTTGAGCAGTTCGTCTTCTTCACTTGCTGCCACCCACTGTACTGTGATGGTGTTGTTGTCCTTTCGAAGTTCCTCCACCGAATCGTACACACTGCGTATGTACGCTTGTCCGGATTGCTGGAGGGGCTGTTTGAGTGAGAGCACCGCCTCCTTGTTGCTCGTCACCACCGTGATCTTCTCGCCCGTGACCCCTCGCAGAGACCGTCTCAACATGTATGCTATCGCTGCCAGCTCTGCGCTGTAGGGATTCTGTTCTGATCTCGCACCTAGTGTGAAGGAGAAATGCTCAGGCTCGCCGTCGACTCTCCCCGACCGTTTCTGAACAGCACCGCCGACACCTACCATCCCCCCTCTTACTGAGCTGCTGACGGCCACGCGGACCGTGCTGGTTGTCTCGAGCACTGTTGTCTCTTCCTCACCGATTTTGACTCGGAGTCTATCTTCCCATGGTAGCAACGTAAGCGCGTTAACGGTCTCAACCCTTTCCATCGGTATATCCTTCAGAGCCTCAGCCACTTGAAACAGCGGCGAGCGGTGGGTAGTCCGGAACTTTCGCATCTTGGACGTCATCCTGCGGAGTGGATTCGTCTCCGGTAGCGTGTGGATGTCTGTCCACATCTTGACTGCTTTCCTCCAGAACCGCTCTTTCGCCGTAGGTATGTGGGCCTCGGCTTCTGCCACACTCGCCGCAACCGTGAGAAAGGTGCCGACGATCGCCTTAGCCGATACCCTCTGTACTCTGTTGATCGGTCCTATGAGCTTGTCCTTGTACCGTTGCATCCACACGTTCGAGGCGTAATCCACTACCGGTGCGACTGTTGCCGTAAACAGCTGTCGCGCCGTTGCTGGCGACAGTCCTCGGAGTCGTTGGAGTTCCAGCGCTGCCTTGAGGCCCTTTGACGAAGCTCTTGCTATGTGCTCCTTGTACTTGAGTCGAGTGTCCATGATGACTCCCAGGATCTTGGTGTGATTCTTCGGTTGAACGGGCCGTCCTTTGATCATGTACGCTTCCGGGTCGGACTTCTTGTCATTGCGGGTAAAGTGGATGATGGCCGTCTTCTCGGCCTCGAACGTCGCGCCGCTCCTCCTCTCCCAGTCGATGGCGTCTCGTATGATGGACTCGATGCCTTTGCGGTTATATTGAGCCGTTTTCCCCGTGACCCAAGCTGTAAAGTCGTCGACAAAGGCCATCGCTCCTCCTTTGCTGTCAATGCGTCTCTGCACCAGATCTGCGTTGAAGAAGAGGAACAGTATCGGAGACAATGGTGACCCCTGAGGAAGGCCCGCTTGGGGTAGGCTTCGCGATTCAGACGACTGCCCGTTGATTTGGATCGTTGCCGTGCGGTCGGAGCAAAAAGCTGATACCCACCGGAGCAAGTCATCCGGGATGCCTCGCGCTTTCATTCTTTGGACCAGTCTTTCCTTGCACACGCCATTGTACGCTCCTTTTACATCAAAGCTGATGAGGCTGAGGACACGATGGCCCCGCCATGCCGTGTAAACCTGCTCTTGGAGGAGCAAGAGCGCTTGCTCGGCCGATCGTTGTTTCCTAGCTCCGAAGTGATTCGTCGGCAGCAGGCCATAGGCTTCAACCACATGTGATATCCTCTCCGCCACTACCGACTCCAGTACCTTACCTAGTGTGGCCAGCAGCGAGATCGGTCGCCATGCCTTGGCCAGCCTGTAGTCATCTTTGCCCGGTTTCTTCAGCGGTATGATCTTTGCGTGCCTCCACTGATGGGGCAGTTTCCCTTCGTCCAGAGACGCCCGAAAGATTGACAAGACCCAGGCCTGCACCACCGGCCAGGTCTGCTTCTAGACCGCTGCGGGGAGCCCGTCTTCTCCGGGTGCCTTCCACGACTTTGTCGCGAATAGCTGGCGTTCCACTTCTTCCATCGTAATAGGCGGCATCTTTACCGCAGCTCTCTGCGGTCTGTCTCCCTCCTCGTCAATGTCTTCGGGGAGGGCGGGGAAGAAGGTGGTGAGTAGTTCTTCTGCTTGTTCTGTGTGGTTCGTTGTCGTTGTTTTGTCTGCCCTGACCAGCTGCGGCAGCTTGCCGAAAGCCTCCTCATCGCCTGCTTTCAGGTACCTAGCAGCCTTCCATATGTTGTCGTTGTCCGCTAGGAACTCATTCCAGTGCTTCCTCTTTTGCTGACGGATCGCGTCGTGGTACTGTTTCGATGCCGCCTTTGCCCTTTCTTCCAGGTCCGCCATGGCTCGTCCCGCCCGCCTTTCTGCACGCGCTCGGTTTCTCCAGTACGTATAGATTCGACGAAGCTGTGTCAGGTCGGTCGTCCACCATCGTTTCGAGTACGGCGACGGCTTGGCCTTTGGTGTCAGGGCGTGGATCGCCTCCGTTACCACCGCCATCAGTCTGTCCGTCTTTTGTTGCACCGTTCCTTCACCAGGTGTCGTTTCCAGCGCTCTCTCGATCCTGGTGTTAATCTCTTTCCAGGGCGCGTTCTTGAAGAGCAGCCGCTCCCCTGGTGCCGTTGTAGGAATCGAGGCCCCGAACAACCCACTCCTTCCGGGAAGCCACTCGGCCGGCCGTGGCTGTGCCTTAACGACCCCGTTAGCCTTTTGCTCCGTCTGGAGACCTTCCCACAGGAGTGTCTCGGCCCGCGGCAAAGCCGAGACGGTGCCGCCCCGTATCCGGTACGGGCCATACGGTCGCGTCGTTCGAGTTTGCACCTTAAGCCGGCCGCAACGGCAGTCCCGTCTCTGAACCGACCGACATGCGCCTCCGTCCTCTCGAGCCACCGTGTCGTCTCCGCAGGTCTCAAGTGCAGGGGCTACTGCGCCGGCGATACCACGTCTTCTTAGACGCCCCAGGTACGAACTGGGAGTGCATCAAATGTACCGGCGATACCGCGTCCAAGCGACGGCCCAGGTACGAACTGGGAACGCAGCTCCCCCGCGGCCTTCTGGTCACGACCACGGCGCTACGGCCCACCGGAAACCCCGGGCGCAACCCCAGATCCAGCTTCCCGTTACCGCGACTCGTCTCCGACTCGCAGCCGACCATGTCTTGCAGATCAGAGGCGCAGAGCAGCCATCACGCCGGCACGACTACTCGCACTCTGTCCACTAACCCAACCCATGTCCGCCGTATGGTGCTCGATCGCGGTGCGCTGTGTCCTCGGGATCGGTCCGGCCGCTTTTCCTGTGCTCGAAGCTTAACAAGTCTGCTGACACCATGCCAACCCGTCGGTCTTAACAACTTCCATTACGCTCGACCAGAGCACGTAGGCTTGTTGCGAGCCCTCGCCGGGAGACGCGCCGATGCCTCATGATGCTCGACTCGTCCGCCTCCCGAGCCCAGAGCCGGATGGGCCGGAGGGTGTCCTGTCTCTTCATCGACGTCAGCCAATGTCAAGTCGGATGGTTTTCTTACGCCAGTATCCCCCGTGTAGCATGTTGGCTTCGGAAATGGCGTGGATGGTGCGGCGGTCGTTGATCGCGTAGTCCGTTTGTAGGTTCGAGAGTGCCGATGAAAATTTTCATAGCACCATCCAACCGCGGGTTTTCGACCGCGCGCGACACACCGCGCCACACCCGCCACTCCTACTGACACCGGACACCACGAGAAGGTCTGCCACATCGTCCTACTGCTTTTTCAAGCAGCATCCAGTGTGCTCACTGGAGACAAGACATTACAGCATCAATCAAAATGGTAATAATAGTGGTGGTAATAGGCAAAAGAGCATAGGGACAAGTGACGTATCGTTAAGTACCCCTTTGAATGCGGGGTAAGAAAGGGTAAAAGTGGGTGTTTTGTGGTCTTGGCGAAAGTGCTGTTCAGCCGCACCCGATGGGATACATCATGCGGCTGATTGTGCGAACATGCTATCCAACCAACATGAACGTATTCGATGCGTAGTGTCTTTCCAGGGCGCCTTCTACATGATGACGCT